ATACATTTGGGGAATAGAGGCGCAGACAGAATAAATGACTTGCCCCAAATCAATATCTGCTGTGATCTGCTCTGGAGGAGGCTGTGTTTCTGTGGTTGGTGATATGATCCCTGTGTGTGGCTGGGATAGTGTATATCAGTGTGTAAAGGACGTTGGAATCCTAAACACGCACACTAGAATGTAGTCTTCTGTAATTAAGCAAAGGGGTAAAACACCAGTGAAGCATGCATGAGGCACAGAGAGACTAAGGGTAGGTCTGCACAAGAAACTTTTTCCAGCATAACTGTCATTTAGGGCTGTGACTTTTCTTTTAAACAACATTGCTATGCTGGCAAAAGCCCTAGTGTAGAAGCAGTTATACTGGCAAAAAGTGCTTTTGTCAGTATAGCTTGTTTTTGCTTGCCAATCCCCAGCATAAACTATACCCGCATAAGCACTTTTTTGTTGGCATGTGTGTCTACACTGGGAGGGTTCGCTGGTGTAGCTATACTGGCAAACCTTGTCTGGTGTACTCTAGGACTAAGCCATTTCTAAAGTCACACAGGAAGTCTGTGACAGGCAGGTAATTGAATCTGGGTCTCCAAGCTCCCATGCTAGTCCCCAACCACTGAACCATCCTTTTTTGGTATGTAAGCTGCCCCTGAAATCACAGTTGATACACCGCTTAATGTGGTAGAAAAAGTTTGCTGTCTTGACAGCACTTTATCTAATAATGCCATGATCAATGTTGTTCCTCTCTGGCTGTAAAACATGGACACTCTGTAGCAGGCAATTGGAACATTTTCACATGTGCTGTCTCTCTCTCATCTCTAACATCAGGTGGTCAGACAGGATACCAAATGTTGAAGTCCTGGACCCAGTGCTGTATGATTAGCATTGAATCCCTAATCCTACAGGTGCAGCTTCGCTGGGCTGGTCACCTTGTACATATGGGTGATATGTGACTTCCCAAAGCCATATTTTATGGACAGTTGAAAACAGATAAAGCCCTGTGCAGCTACAAAATTTATATCCGCAGATATAAATCAGATATCTGCGGAGCTGCAGGGCTCTTCCGGGAACCGCAGTGGCGAAAGCAGTAGCATGTCAGGCCACCACTCACAGGAGCCAGTACCTCACGTGGGCAGCTCCTCTGGCATGGTTATACCACCTCCAGCCCTGCCCACTGGAGCAGACACCAGGCTCACCAGGGTGACTTAAAGGGCACACTCCTTCATTTTGGATGAATGTTTTCTCCCAGTGGCAATCTCATCTTCTTTACTTATGACAGCCACCAGAGCTGCTCTCCCTTGCAGCCAGGAGCACAGACAGGCTGCACTAAGGTTGCTATGCCACTCCCAATTAGTTGCTAGGGAACATAAAAGCAGAATGCTAGCGAAGGCTGAACAACATCACCATGTTGCTCACAGCCTCACCCAGGCAATGGGACAGTGGTCCTGATGTTGCTCTGTCACGAAAACATTCCACATGGCACAAAGTATGGGTTGCAGTACGTATCCATTGTATATTACGTTGGTCCATGAGAAATAAATTTTGTTTATGTTCATATTGCTATTTACCAACCCAGGTTCTCTAATTTTGTACTCTTTTATGAAGCTGGATAAGGTGTATTGTAGCTTCTTTCCCCCCAAGGAAAGGGTCCCCTAACAGCTAAGTGTACCACATTGACCTGTCCAAAAAGGTATTCTAAAATAGCAGAACAAATCAGAGGTGCTTCCTTGACTGATAAAACTAGTTAGGGTGTTTAGTATTTTTTGTAGCTCTAAAATGCCTTGTAAAAGGTAGCAGTTCAGCTTCTGGCAGCGTTGTATGTGGGATATTTGAGATTTGCTTTTTTTCCAGACAGAGCATTTCCACTTTCGTCTTTGGAAGTGTTTTCTAGTTTGGCAGTAGCTTTTAAACTGCTGGACATCACAGACAAAGCAAAAACTGCTTTCTCTTTGCAAATATGAATGTTGGTTACTTTCTTTCTAGCCCTGAAACAGCATTAAAGCTTTAGATTTTAAGTCAGAAAGAAAAATAACTTTGATGTGAAATAATGTTTCTTGATTTGTCTGTTCTCTGGTTTGAAATTATTCATCCTCTAACCAGTAGATGGAGAAAGGGAGACACAGTTGAAGCCATCAAAGCAGTTCATTTGGCTGAAATTCCTCCCAAGATGGTTCACTGACTAGTGCCTCATAGAATTTTGAACAGAAGTTGGTTGGGGTTTTGCACTTGATTTCTTGATCTGTACGTTGAAGCTAAGTAGAGAGCTTTGTTTGGGATTCAATTCTTCGGGTTGGGACAAGTACCAAGTTACTTGCAACAAGCCGATCATTTGTATGACAGCACTGACAAAGCAGGAAGTTACAGGAAACCATTTGTGTTAGTATAAGCACTCAGTTTTAAAAAATACCGCCTAGACCTCACTCAAATGCTAGTCTGAACACTGCTGAACTGAAAGCCTGCCTGTCCTGGGTCAAGAACCTAAGCTGTGGAACTGGAAGGGAAAGTTGGATATTAACAGGTGTCCACTTACTTTGCTGCAGGCATAGGGTTTACTTTTGTTTCAACAGTATTTTTGTTTTTGTAGCATATTTCCACGTGAGACCGTCTCAGAGGACCCTGAAGTTTGGGGTCTCCAGTTGTACAATTATTGATCTGTATCTGGGTGATGAATAATTCAGTGAATAATTCACAAGACTCTTTAGCCTGGTGGCAATCTAGGGACAATTAACTATTTATAAGACTTCCAAATTCCTTTGACAAACATTAAATGTGGATGCACTTTGCCTAGCAAAAGGATTCATGTAGCAGAGCAGCATTCCCATGAAATCTGATCTCAAAAGAACTGCAGCTGTACAAAAATGCTCTGAAGATGAGCCCTTCAGAGACCTCGTATTCCAAAAGGCGGTCCCTGACTCAGATCGTAAGCCTTCCTTGCTGTTCACAAAAAGCAAGGTGCATCCGATTTTTTCCTCCTGTGCTGGGAAGCCTAGAATAGGACAATATTCCACAAAGCATTCCTGAGTTGCTGCTTATCTTACAGGAATGGCAAGTATGACACCTATAGGCGGAATGTATTGGTAAAGGACACAAAAGTGGTCGTTGGATTTAGGGGCTAGTGTTTAACTTTCTCTCAAGTGGGCATGCCAGAGAGTAGTCTAAACAAGTTACCTATCTTGGGATGATACATCAGGAAGAGATGTACTGATGAGAGATGCTCCCTTTACCCATGGGGCAGGGAGGAAGTTCTTCCTATCTATACTCCTGGTAACAAAGGTCTTGACCAAGCTCAGCATATGAAGGTTACATGTCCCTACTAGACCCCTACTGGCTGAGAATCGCATGACTATTGCCTTTGTTAGGGATAAGAGTGGCTGAGGCTACGTCTTCACTGCGGGGGGGAGGGGGGGGGTCCGATTTAAGATACACAAGTTCAGCTACGCGAATAGCGTAGCTGAATTTGACGTATCGGAGCCGACTTACCCCGCTGTGAGGACGGCGGCAAATCGACCTCTGCGGCTCCCCCGTCGACGGCGCTTACTCCTACCTCCGCTGGTGGAGTACAAGCTTCAATTCGGGGATCGATTGTCGCGTCCCGACGAGACGCGATAATTCGATCCCCGAGAGATCGATTTCTACCCGCCGATTCAGGCGGGTAGTGTAGACGTAGGCTGAGAGGGGGACCACAGAGAACCAGCCCAGGAATACAGAGAACCAAGTCACCTCTCTGAATTCCAGCCCAGGATCCCACTCCATGTGTCATGTCGTGTTTCCTTATAGCTGTGTCAAGTCCACCAAATGGATAGATGACTGCATTTGGAAAAAGGCTGTAGTCTGTGAAAAGGTGCATATAAGTAATTTCCTTTAAGAGATATAACAGACCCACCTAATACTTTTAAATTACTGTAGCTTAATTGAGGTTATTTATTCCCTTGTGTGCGAATGGTTGTCATTTAAAGTCAAAAGCTGAGTTTACAACTACCTTCTAAAAGAACAGGAGTACTTGTGGCACCTTAGAGACTAACAAATTTATTAGAGCATAAGCTTTCGTGGGCTACAACCCACTTCTTCGGATGCATATTGAGTGAAACATATCGAGGAGATATATATACACACATACAGAGAGCATGAACAGGTGGGAGTTGTCTTACCAACTCTGAGAGGCCAATTAAGTAAGAGAAAAAAAAAAAAAAAAAACACTGACCCAGGAACCTATCCTTGTAACAAAGCCCGATGCCAACTCTGTCCACATATCTATTCAAGTGACACCATCATAGGGCCTAATCACATCAGCCATACCATCAGGGGCTCGTTCACCTGCACATCTACCAATGTGATATATGCCATCATGTGCCAGCAATGCCCCTCTGCCATGTACATTGGCCAAACCGGACAGTCTCTACGCAAAAGAATTAATGGACACAAATCTGACATCAGGAATCATAATACTCAAAAACCAGTGGGAGAACACTTTAACCTGTCTGGCCATTCTATGACAGACCTGCGGGTGGCTATCTTAAAACAGAAAAACTTCAAAAACAGACTGCAAAGAGAGACTGCTGAGCTGGAATTGATATGCAAACTAGACACAATCAACTCAGGGCTAAATAGGGATTGGGAATGGCTGAGCCATTACAAACATTGAATCTATCTCCCCTTGTAAGTATTCTCACACTTGCTTCTTATCAAACTGTCTGTACTTGGCTACCTTGATTATCACTTCAAAAGTTTTTTTTCTCTTACTTAATTGGCCTCTCAGAGTTGGTAAGACAACTCCCACCTGTTCATGCTCTCTGTATGTGTGTATATATATCTCCTCGATATGTTTCACTCAATATGCATCCGAAGAAGTGGGTTGTAGCCCACGAAAGCTTATGCTCTAATAAATTTGTTAGTCTCTAAGGTGCCACAAGTACTCCTGTTCTTTTTGCGGATACAGACTAACACGGCTGCTACTCTGAAAACTACCTTCTAGTTTTCTCTTAAATGTTGCTTTTTTTTCTTCCTTGCAGTGAGATCAGTCGGCTGGACCTGGGCCTGATTGTTGAAGTATGGAACAAAGGGCTGATCTGGGACACTATGGTCGGGACTGTGTGGATTGCACTTAAGGCCATCCGGCAGTCTGATGAGGTTAGCTAGCACATAACACTAATGTGAAAGTGCATTGTCAAGGTTAATATGCCTCTAATCTAGCCACATGGTGCACATAACTACTGTATGCAAGTTACTGGTGCTTCTGAGAAACTTGGGGAAGTGTGTGGAAGGGGCCCTGTATTTTTGGATCATAGAGGCCACTAGTAAGCCAAACAAAAATTGAATCTACTGTACGTGCTTCTGAGGTCTCAGTTCTACAAATGTAAAAAGAGATCTAATTTTGTAAAGAATGTATAGCTTTGATAGCTCACCTATAGACCTCTCAAAAACTGATTTGTTAGAATTGTAACACTCATGGGAAAAATTGTAAAAATATTACTGCATAGCATGCTAAAAGCTGAAATCTCTCTGTATTCAAAATAGGGACTGTTATGGGCCACCCTTGTAACAAACACTCTGACCTTCACTTGGTGGCATGAGGACTTGTCCTTTGGAGTTATACTTTTAATGCTAGAGGATACCTGCAGATTCCCTAAATAAAGCCACAAAACATTGTTTACTATGAGTAGTGTTGGTTGCGATGTAACAGGGATTTCCTAACTTCTGAAATTCTTCTGTTAGCTACTCAAGTCACAAGTTCTGAAAGCAGGTCTAAACTTACTCATTTATTTACATAGCTCCGAGCCCAGTGTATGTACACTATTTAAAAGATAGATTTTACAGAGCTGGATATTATAGAGCCGGGAGATGGTAATTAACTTTGGCAATAGGAGAAAATAGGCAAAAGGAGGTAGGGGGAACCCAGCCCCCACGAATTTGTTTGTGCTAAATTGTCTTAGGAGCCCCAGTTCTCCTCAGTGATTGTTATTGAATACTCTATGCAAAATTCCCATCGGATGTGAGTAGGTTTGCTGCAGTTACATTTTAAATTCTCTCTTCCTTATCTTGGTATAAGCATTTAAATGATCCCACAGAATTTGTGCAGTCAAAGCTCCAGGGCAAGTAGTCAGCAGTGGGATATGGCAAACAGAAAACTGCATTAACTTTTAGAAGTAAAGACTAGCAGGGTATATTGCTAATCTTATTAATCCTTTTGGGTTATTCCTGGGCTCCTTACATCAGCAAATGTCCAATGGAATTCATTATATAAGGATGACTGCCAGGATAAAGGATCGTCAGACCCAGGGACTTGAATTCATGGCTTTTAATTTATAGGAAGGACCTGGAGAATGGTCTACGCTGGAGGCAGAGGTCGTAATGAAGCATGATGAGATCTGTGGGACCAAAAAGCCAACTCCCCATAAAATTTTGCTGGATACAAGATTCGAGTTACCTTTTGGTGAGTTGTATTTTGGTGGCTTAACTGGAATGCTACAATCTGAGGGATAACATTTCAATGGAGTTCTGCTTATATAACAATATATTAGAACATAGAACATGTGTAGTGCTCTGAGCCTAACTGCAGATGAAATTTCATATATGACAGCTTCCTTGTTAAATCTTTTGTTACCTAGATGCTCAACATAAATAAGAGGGATTTGAAGGTTTCTTTGTGCCATGAATCTTTAGCCTAGCGTAAGCTAAAGCTAGTAGTTGTTTTAGGTGTTTCAGGAGTGTGACACAAGACGCTTCATTTTGAACCAGGGAGCACGTTTCAAACCACTTACCTGACCGTTTATTCATTCTAAATGGTGCAATGAATTGGAGAGCTGTGCAATTTTCTTAATGAAGTGCAAGTGCCATCTACAGCTGCCTGTTCATAAATAAAGTTGGATGTTTGTTTTGTTTGTATCCTAGCTTCATATCATCTACCCAACATCACAGGAATAACAAACTTTTATAGGAGCAGTTTTTCAGCTGTATAGATGCATCCGATTAAAAACTACAGAATGTTCAAAATCAGCTAATTTAGAGCAAAAGCATCAGTCATAAAGAAGTTACAGTATATCTACAGAGAAAAGCTAGATTAGAAAAGATTTCGATATTTTAGTGGTCTGTATAAACATAGGACTATGCTACTTCCTCCCCAACCCATAATGGGCTGTTGGGAATGCTAAAGGCATAGGGACAACCTTAGCTCTTGCTTCCTTGGTTATTCGATTGAACTTGCTAAGCGTTTTAAACTTGTTCATCAGTATAAGGTGACCTCTTATTTTGTTTGACTCTTCTGCATGAGCTCTCTTCTGGGCTGAGTAGCACTGCACCATGAGCGTGCAGATTGGTTATAGATTGTTTGTGCACTATCTTTGGCACTTGGACAACCATCCTCAGAATTGGCCATCCTGCTGTAGAGCCAAGTTAAGCAGTATTCATCTTGCGTACCCTTTCCTATGGTAAGCAGGACTCAGGATTCGGCCTTGAGGCTCTAAGATCTGTGTCAAGTTTTCATATTCTGAAAGCCTTAGTGACTGTGATTTTTGTGCTCGCAGATGATAGCTGAATGATGAGGCAGATCAGAATGAACATAATATTTTATAAATATAATAGACATTCCTTTCTGACTTAGTAGACCAGCATGAGAGGCTGCCCTGTACTTTAAATGGTCTTGTCTTTGCCATATGTGGGGATCTGGTCTGGAAGGTTATTACCCTCTCATCATGAAAACTTCTCCTGAACATCCATCATGTTACATTGCCTATAGAAAACTAGCCACTGACAGGGTAGTTTGATTTAAATAATCAATTTTAATCAAGATTTATATCAGCAAGCAGGAATACTTGATTTAAATAATCAATTTTAATTGTTTTGCATTTTTAGTTATTTTCTTAGAGAGGTTGATTCTCACCTGTTTGTAACCATTAAAACTCATTGATTTGCAACTAAATATAGCCTTTATACTATATTTGTTTTTGCTAAACAGGATACACTGTATTTATACACAGTTATTTAAGCTGTTATAAAGCTCAATTTACATTTATTCTGAGGCTTAATTTTTACTTTTTTATTTTAGAAAATGTTGAAAAATGTTTTAATTACTAGGTTAATTTTTTTACTTATGATTAGTGTCAAGCTCTATTTGGGAATTTGAATGCAATTAAATAAGTAAAAAACCTCCTGAGCATTTTAGTTTTTTTAATTAGTTAAATAAAATTACCTTATGCTGGACACATAAGAAAAAAAATTATCAAAGCATGTTTTTCATTTAAAACTGATTTATTAAATGAAGTAAATATTTATAATTAGTGAATTGAACTGATTTTCTTGTCACCATGTCCTTCAAGATTCTAGAATTAGCAGAGCTCATCCTTTCACACCTAAATTTTATTCAGACTGGAAGAGAAAACAAGGTACTTCAAGTGCTGGTCCCTATGTGTATTCCACTACGGGTACACATGTCCTCTGTGCACCCAGAGTTGGAGAAGTTTGAAATCACTGTCTGTTGGTCCATTCATGTGCCCTTGCTTTTCTCATGCCTCAACCAAGGAGATAGAGGGCGGAGCAGACTGACCACCTCTCCAGTTCCTTCTTACTACTTCATGACCTCGGTCAGAACCTCTGTCCCGGGGAATTTCCTACCCCTTTCCCCCCCATAATGCATTATGGGTTCTGAACTAAGCCCAGGATTCAGGGTTTCAGAATTTGTGGTTCTTGCTCATGCTGCTTCTATGTTGGCGACACCCAACGCCGCCTGTACTGCGTCAGGGAAGCCCTTGTTGCAGCATGGTGCAGTATCCCCATTCATGCCCGTGAGGGGTGGGAACTTTGTCTTAAGAAGCACTTAGTAGAGAAAGCTATGAAGCCGCAGTCAGACCCTGGCTGTACATGGGTCTGGATCAGCAAGGAGTGTGCCTCCTGCTGTGAAGTCTGACATAGGAGCGAGGGAGTCATCTCCCAAAGATTCCCCCATCAGGGTCTTGTCAGAAAGGCAGGGAGCATTCACAAACACAAGAGCAAATTCTTCTCTAAGTCCACTTCAGAGAAGTCGGATTCAGCCCTGCCTAAGTTGAGCAAGTCTTCCCACTCAGCCCATGAGAACTTAGAACATCCTAAACTTCAGGGTCATGATTTGAAAGCCCACAAATCCTGGTGTCTGTCAGTACCAGACTTTGCTCCAGTGGCAATGGTACTTCAGTGCCTAGTAACCCTAACCACTGAGAACCAAGGGCACTGACAAAGGGCAACCATTGAAGCCTCAACCACCGATGGTATCTGCTCTACCTTGCCCAACTGTGGCACAAACTGTAACAGCTGCACCAGCTCTGCTGGTTCAAATGGACAGGTCCCCTTGTACTCCAGGGAGAGCACAGTCTTATGCTTCACCTGATGTTTATTCTGTCCTAGATCCCCAGTCTCTATCATCATCAGATCCTTTCCTCAGAAGGAAGGTCCTGACTTCACCAGGAGATGCAGCTTATGGGAAGAGTCTGTCCCCCATTCCATCGTCCAGCCATGGTTTCCCTCCAGCAGAATTGCTGGTACTGCTGATGGATTCAGAATTGGCATTTTCTTTCTCTGGGGACTTGAAACCACATGAGGAACTGATATCTTCTCCTTTGAGGCATCCCTTCCTGGACTAGTCTGGAACCAACCTCCACTTCAGCACCTGCCGAAGAGCCTTTGGTACCCCACTCTGTGTGGTACCATGCCTCGACAACGACCCTTTGACCCATCTTACTGGCCATACTAAGGATGGTGGGATCAGTACCACCATACAGAGTTAACATGATCCACTAGGGAGTTAGTCCATCCTCCCCTGCGAGAGGATAGCCAAAACTTTCTTCTGTACCCATGGAAGAGGAAGATTATGAACTGGATCTGGTGGTTCCCCCAGTACTAACAAGATGGTCCTCCTACCACTAAGAGGGCAGAAAAATGCTATTTTGTCCCAGCCAAAGGGAATTTCTTTTCTTATTCTGCTCCTAACTCTTTGCTTGTCTAGGCTGCAATGGAGAGATCTAGACAGAAACACCCTTAGATCTACCCTGGCTGACAAAGAGGTAAACGCATAGATTTGTTGGGAAGGAAGGTCTTCTCTTCCTCTAACCTTCAGTTCAGAATAGCCATTTATCAAGAACTGTTGGCTTAGTACGATTACCTGAACTATTCCAAATTCACATATTATGCAACAAGATAGAGCTCAATTCCAGGCTATTGTTTAGGAGAGCAAGTTGTTCGCCAGGACTGCTTTTCAGTCAGCAGTAGATGCAATAGATACATCTTCATGATCAATGGCAACTGCCATTGTGATGTGCCGTGAATTATGGCTTCACACTTTGTGGCTTCCCAGAGGGGTCCAGAACACTGCAGAGGACCTGTCCTTCAGTGGAAGGCATCATTTTAACCAAAAGACAGGTGTGTTTTCACACACTCTAAAGAACTCCAGGGCTACCCTCTGCTCCCTGGGAATATATATACCTGCCCCAAAGAGAGAACTTCACAGACAATCGTATCAGCCTAGACCGTTGGCTCAACAGTTTACCACGAATGTCCTTATGAGCCACCCTGTAAAAAGCAAAGCATTCAGAAGATCCGTTTCCCTGCACTTTCTGTGACGGCATCATCCAACCCAATCTAACCAATATTTTTGATGGGAGTTTGAGAGCTGCAAATCAATGATGCTGCCATCTGCTGATTCCCACACATCCTTTGGGGGTCATCTAGCAATCTTTTCTCACAACTGGAGTGCAGTAACGGACAAGTGGGTGTTAATCATCATCCATTCTGGTTATGCAATTGAATTTACCGTCTGACCTCTTCCAAAGCCCCCATCCCCTGCCCATTTTCAGGGGCCTTTCTCATGAGTAGATTCTCAAACAAGAAATAGTTCCAACTACAGCGTGGAGCAATGGAGTTGGGTACCTCTTCAGCACCGAGAAAAGGGTTTTTACTCAACATACTTCTTAGTATCCAAAAAGAAGAGTGCTGGAGATCCATCTTTGATTTCTGCCATCTCAACCATTTTATTTGCAAGCAGAAATTTTGCATGGTCACACTTGTATCTATAATCCCATGTTTGGAAAAGGGCATGTGATTTACAGCTCTTGATATGAAGGACATGTACTTTCATGTGGACGTTCACCCCGCTCACAGATGTTGTCTCAGATGCATGGTGTGCCCTGATCATTTTCAATACAGAGTGCTCCCATTTGGCCTTGCTACTTCCCCAGGGTCTTTACCAAGATTTTTTCAGTAGTAGAAGCCCATATCAAGTGTTCTGGCTTTGCGGTCGTCTTTATCTCAATGACTGGCTTATCACTGCCAAGACACATCAAGAAGCCTGAGTCAACATCAGTAATGCTTCAGCTCCTTTCTTTCCTAGGGGTCAGCGCAAACTCAGTCTGTGTCCTCACTCCAACACAGACTTCATTGGAGTGTCCCTCAATTCAGTCATGGCAAGGG